GGCCCGGGGTGTATGTGTGTGTGTGTGTGTATGTGTGTGTGTGTAACCGAGGCGGGGGTCCCGGACTCCCCCCCCCCGATCCCGACCGCGTGGTACCTTGAAGAGCGCCGCGTCCTCCCGCTCGCGGTAGTCCTGCTTAGCGGCGTGTTTCCAGGGGATGCGGAAGAGCGCCTTCCGGCCGTCCACCCAGCGCAGTCCCGGATAGCGACCGCTCTCCACCTGGGCCAGCAGCCACTCCTTCAGCCGCATGGGCTGCGGCGCCTGGGCCATGGGCGCTGCCTCCCCTTCCCCGAGACCCCCGCAGGGCCGCTCCCGACCTCGCCGAGGCTGGAAAGGCGCCCGACGGCCGCGCGCCACAAGCAGCCGGGAAAGCGAAAGGAGTGCGGGCAACTTTCGCTTTCGTTTTCGTTTTCGCTCGCGCTTCCCCTTCGCTGGGGCGGCCCAGAGGGAGCGTAGAATCCTAGGGCTGGAAGGGGACCGTGGAGGTCTTCTAGTCCGACCCCCTGCTGCTCGAGCAGGAGACTCTGCACCAATTCAGGCATCTAGTTGTCCAATCTCTTAAAAAAGCTCCAGTGATGGACAAGTATAGAAAGTGGAAAGAGGGGCAGGTAACTAAGGCAGAATATCAGCAAATAGCCCGAACCTGCAAAGATGAAAAGGAAAGCGAAAGCTCACAATAAACTAAGGCTTGCGACAAAAGTCAAAAATAACGACGACAGCAACAACAAAGCTTCTTTTGACATGTAAAAAGCAAGAAAAAAGGTTAAGGATACAATTGGTCCATAAAGCAGAACTGCTTAACTCATTTTTTTGCATCTGTCTTTACACAAAAGGAAAAAACAGACCAGCCTATCAAAAACAGTGCCATAAAAAACAGAATAGAAACACAAGATAGGCAAGAAAATGGTAAGTGAGCACCTGTCCAGCCTAGACGAGTTCAAATCACCAGGACCAGATGGATTACACCCCAAGGAACTGGCAGATGTGATCTCAGAACCACTGAACTATATTTTTCAAAGATCCTGGAGCACTGGGGAACTACCAGAGGACTGGAAAAGAGCTGATGTAGTTCCCATCTTCAAAAAAGGGGAAAAAATGGATCCAGGAAACTACAGACCTACCAGCCTGACCTCAATACCTGGGAAGACTCTGGAAAAGATAATCAAAGAATGAATCAGCGAACACCTACAGGCAAACAAAGTCATTACTAAAAGCCAACATGGGTTTGTCAAACAGAGATCATGCCAAACAAATCTTATTACATTCTTTGACCAAGTGACAAAATTAGTGGACCAGAGGAATGCTGTGGACGTAATTTACTTGGACTTCAGTAAGGCATTTGATAAAGTAGACCACAACCTATCCATAACAGAACGTCCAGATTCAACCATAGTTTCATTCCATACAGCATTAACCTTGTGAACTCTCAAGCTTCCTCCTTCCGTTATATATTCAAGATGGACAGTAGTTAATATTTATTTGTTATGTATATGCAGGGGTGTGGGTCTATACATGTTGTATATAGTATGTTTAGGTGTGTGTCATGTATGTGTTTCACTTTGAGAGCGGGCAGCTAAATTTCATTTTTGATAATAAAGGTTATCTTCTACTTGACAAGATAGAAAAATGTGGGTTAGACAGCATCACCACCTGATGGATCTGTAGCTGGCTGACCGGCCGTACTCAGCGTGTGGTCCTCAATGGAACCGCATCTACATGGAGGGAAGTGTGTAGTGGGGTGCCCCAGGGCTCTGTTCTGGGCCCAGTGCTCTTCAACATCTTCATCAAGGATCTGGACGAGGGGATAGATGGGGAACTCATCAAATTTGCAGACGACACCAAGCTGGCAGGAATAGCCAACACTCCAGAAGACAGGCTTAGGATACAGGAGGATCTGGACAGACTTGAACACTGGGCGCTATCTAACAAAATGAAATTCAAGGGTGAAAAAAGCAAGGTTCTACATTTAATAATAATAAAGTTGGAAGGGACCTTGGAGGTCATCTAGTCCAACCCCCTGCTTAGGGAGGAAACCCTATACCATTTCAGTCAAATGGCTGTCTAGTCTCTTCTTAAAAACTTCCAGTGTTGGAGCATTCACAGCTTCTGGAGGCAGGTTGTTCCACTGGTTAATTGTTCTAACTGTCAGGAAGTTTCTCCTTAGTTCTAGGTTGCTTCTCTCCCAGATTAGTTTCCATCTGTTGCTTCTTGTCCTGCCTTCAGGCGCTTTGGAGAATAAATTGAGCCCCCCACCACCACCTTCTTTGTGGCTCCCTTCAAATATTGGAACAGGGCTATCATAACACCTCTGGTCCTTCTTTTCTTTAGACTAGCCAAACCCAAATCCTGCAACCATTCTTCTCTTAGACTAGGTCTCTCTCTCTCTCGCTCCCTCCCTCCCTCCGTCTCTCTCATCTATCCATCTTTCTGTCTCTCTCCCTCCCTCCCTATCTCTACTATCTATCTTCCATCTGTCTGTCTCTATCTTCTATCATCTATCTAGAGAGATAAGATAAATAATTCTTATCTATCTATCTATCCATCCATCTATCATCTATCTATCTATCTATCTATCTATCTATCTATCTATCTATCTATCTATCTATCTATCTATCTATCCATCTATCTCTCATCTCTTATCTCTATATATTATCTATCTATCCATCCATCCATCTATCTATCTCTCATCTCTTATCTCTATATATTATCTATCTATCTATCCATCCATTCATTCATCCATCCATCCATTATCTGTCTGTCTGTCTATCTATCTATCTATCTATCTATCTCTCATCTCTTATCTCTATATATTATCTATCTATCCATCCATCCATCCATTATCTGTCTGTCTGTCTGTCTGTCTGTCTATCTACCTATCTATCTACCTATCTCTCATCTCTTATCTCTATATATTATCTATCTATCTATCTATCTATCTATCTATCTATCTATCCATCTATCTCTCATCTCTTATCTCTATATATTATCTATCTATCCATCCATCCATCTATCTATCTATCTATCTATCTCTCATCTCTTATCTCTATATATTATCTATCTATCTATCCATCCATCCATCCATCCATTATCTATTTGTCTGTCTGTCTATCTCTCTCTCTCTCTCTCATCTCTTATCTCCATCCATCCATTATCTGTCTGTCTGTCTGTCTATCTACCTATCTATCTATTTACCTATCTATCTCTCATCTCTTATCTCTATATATTATCTATCTATCCATCCATCCATCCATCCATTATCTGTCTGTCTGTCTGTCTGTCTGTCTATCTATCTAATCTATCTATCTATCTCTCATCTCTTATCTCTATATATTATCCATCCATCCATCCATCCATCCATCCATCCATCCATCCATCCATCTATCTATCTATCTATCTATCTATCTATCTATCTCTTATCTCTTATCTCTATATATTATCCATCCGTCCGTCCGTCCGTCCGTCCGTCCGTCCGTCCGTCCGTCCGTCCGTCCGTCCGTCCGTCCGTCTATCTATCTATCTATCTATCTATCTATCTATCTATCTATCTATCTATCTATCTATCTATCTATCTATCTATCTATCTATCTATCCTCTCTCTCTCTCTCTTAGAAATCCTGACTTTTCTGCCTGGGGTGGGCCTTCTGGGGGACACCCCATCTGTGTGACCCCCAAAATATATATAAACCACCCTCTTATATTTGCTGACCCCCTCTGGCTAAAGCTCCTGGGGCTTCTTCGAGGGGCTGTGATGAAGCAGGCCCCGCTGAGGGGGCTTCCCTGCCATCAATCCGTTCACGCTGTGTGAATGCCGTCCAAGTGTGGAGGGCAGAACTTCCAGCTTTCTTTGGCTCAGCTGGAGGGAAGCCATGAGGGAAAATTCCCCCCTTATAAAAACCTTAGACTGCAGTTTGCGCAAAACACTTCAACTCGGTTAACCACTTCGGCGTGTTTGCCCCGTTGCACTGAATGATAAATTAATCAAGTGGGCTGGAGTCGGTTCCCTGTGAAAAGTAGAAAGGGGTAAAGAGAAAGTGAAAGTGGCCTTTTGTAAGAGCGCTTTGTAAAAAAAAAACCAAAAGAAAATATTTTCTGGGTTTGTTTTGCTTTTTCTTAAAAGATTAAAAAAAATCCTTTTATAAATCGTATCTTATTTAATTATTTATTTGTCTACTTATTTATTTGATTTCTAGAGCTACTCATCTCAGCAAACAACTTTGAGAGGCTCAGGTTTAACTTCCACATCATTATCATTATCATTAT